ATAAGAATATGTTGTTGAGCCTATAAATACATTCTTTTTCATGATGTAGGTTTCTTCAGCTAATTAACTCCATTAGTCCAAGTGGTATAATGTGTTAATTACATAATGCTGCATTGCATCTGGAGCCGTGGGGGAGTAGTGGTTGCCCTGGGCTGCGATCTTCAAGTTCAGCAGTTCAAAACCACCAGCAGCTCTGAGGGAGAACAATGATGGGGATTTCTTGCTACCGTACACAGATGCAGTGTAAGAACATCCGTCACATGGAGCAGTTCCTACCCCGTAGGGTTGCTATGAGTCAGTACTGACTCTGTGACAGTTAAGTGTGTTATTTGTCTTTAATAAGGACAGGGAAAGCTGGCTGACTGGCCTAACGGATGCGTCCCAGCCCACCAGGGGCCACCACTTGAGCCCCCCGCCCTGTCAGGGATCACTACAGCCCTAACCAGAAGGTCCACTCGGAGGAGGGTTTCTTTGCCCGCCCTTTCAGCTGTGTAGACCTGCTGGGGGCCTGACTTTAATGCTCAATAAACCGGTCAAGAAGCCTCCTCCTACCCTTTCCTTCACTCTCTGTGTTGCCACAATGCCACCGCTTCTTTCTAGAAGCCTGCGGATCCAGGATCAGCCCCCAAAAGGAGTTACTGAACCCCAACATCTTTTTAATGGAGGAAGGGAGGCGGTTTATATACATCTGAACATCAATTTGCCTTACATATTGCTTTGAAAAATGTGAATAAACATAGATCCAAGGAACCAATAATCTATAAAAAGAGACTTACTTTTCACCAGGAGAGCCACAGGTAACATCAGTTAGGAGAGAAAAAGCAAACTTCTCAGTTACTTCAGTAAATTGGCTGAATCCCCTCGTATCCTTGCGCTTTGGGTTAATAAGAGCACAAAGAATTTCATAGAAGAGATTTCGGCTTTCAATACTGAATGCTTGATGTTTTCCTTCAACAGTTATCTGGGGGGGAAAATGATAAAAAGTGAAAATACATCATCTTAAAAATTAATTTTAATTTTGCACTTAAAAGGCATAAATCATGTTTTTGTGAGTATGCCATTCCCTTAAAAATCACTGCCTATTTGATCATTTCACATGGCCTAAGATGACTCCAGGAATCACTTAATTTTAGCCATGAAAATGAACATCATCAGAGAAAACCAATCTCATTTTGATATTATTCACTACAAGGATTTGCATTCTTTTGAGCAACATTATAAAAATTTAATTCCTTAAGAATATTTGTGAATGATAGAATCAAGAGTATTCTTTACTCTGTATTTGTCAGTGGACATGACATCCTCTAGAAATATATTTTGAAAGTATGAAATGAGAAAATCGTCTGACTATGAGTAGCCAAGAGCTCTCGCCTTCCCAGCGAGCGTCACGCCTCCTTTCAATGGTCTGTTCTCTCTGTGTGCGGCCCAGCGGGTGCAGGTAGACAAAACACTTTCCTGATGTATTTTCCTTGGCAGAATGATGGGGAAGGAATCCAAATTGTTTATCGAAGCATGAGTGGCAAACCTCTGAGCTGATATTCTACTAAACAAATCTATCTTGGAAGAGGTACATTAGAAGCAAGGATGATGAAATTGCTTCACATCCTTTAGACACATTATCAGAAGAGACCCATCCATGGAAAAGGATAGCATGATTGTATAG